GGTGTGAGTTTGGTGGGTCCAACAGATGCCTAGCCTCACCCTGGCCCTGCTGACTTAGGAATCAGAGAGGTTTCCTTTGGCCATTAGACAATTAAAGGACAAAGAAATGGGATGATCCCCAGGGTGGCTCACCATAATAACTATGGACAATTATAGGAACAGAAATGTGAGTCCCTCTTCACTGCAGAGGGAGGAGAGATATCCTTTTGGTTTCCTCCCCACCGCTGAAGTGATAGATCATACCTTAATTTGTTTATTGAGCATTTACTATGAACCAGATGTCGTATAGACTTGGTATAGCATAGCCCACAACAACCTCCAACTCTTAGGGCCTCTTCAAATCACAGGTGTGATGAAAATGGGATTTTGACATGATGGGATTCAGCTTGCTCTCACGCCCCTTACCTCCCTAACCCTAGCTGGGCACCTAGTGATCCCCAAGCTTGTGGCTCCATTTACCGAAGTAAAGTCTGGGCCTGGAGGCTGGAGACAGCCATAGTGACAGCCTGAGAAATGCTTCCAGTTCCTCCCACTCTGAAATTTTCCTGCTACTCTACAAAAAAAAAGATGTGGAAGAGGGCGGGAGCAGCAGAGAGGAAACCACAAAAACAAAATCTAGAGCAGCCGCTCAGAGGACATGCTGTCCCTGGCAGGCGGCAGGGGGCAGGGAGCGGTCAGCCTCGTGTGGCCTGGCAGGGCTGGGCAGGGCTCAGTGCCATCAGGGAGGGTGGTGACTTGGCACATGGAGCCTCCTCTCCCACTCACCCTACACACAAACACACACATGCCAGGCCAGGCAACAAGCAGCTTAGGGAGTTCAGCCACTCTCCATGAATTCATTTATTCCTTCACTCATTCATTCATTATTGGCTGAGCAAACACTATGTGCAAGATCACATCCCATGAGAAGGGATCATGCAGCCTTCAACCTTGGTAGATGAGTGACCCCAGAGCGAGAAATATTCACAGTTGATCAGACAGGCCCAAATAGGGAAATACCTGTGGCAGCATCCCCAGAACTGGGGGCTGAAGGATGCAGAGGAGAGACCAAGTGCCAGGGAGGTAGGGAAAGCTTTGAGTGAGTGCCAAGGCTGAACATCTGGAAGGGGAGGACAATGAAGTTCATGGTGGAGGCTTGGAGCCCTGGGCGAGTACCAGAACCCACAGGAACCCACAGAGGAAGTGCTTTGTCTTGGCACTGTGGGCAATGGGGAGCCATGGGAGGTGTTAGAGTAGGGCAGGTTAGAGCTTGCTTTTAAGTTGTTAGGAGAAATGAGATAGAGGAAGGAGGTAGAGGAGGATGGAGGCTGGGGGCCCTAACCTGGTGGGCATGAGACAGAGGAGTGATTTTGAGAGGAAGATTTGGGGTGGATACCCAAAGGGTGTGAGGGGGAGACAGCAGGAGATAACAAAGAAGACCACCACAGCCTGGAAGAGGAAAAGAGATCTCAGGGCAGGGGTGAGGATGGAGAGCTCTGATGAGGCCTGATTGAGTGAATGAGCAGAAAGAGGATGTTGGAGGGACAGCTGGGGAATTCTGTGGGCCACCCTGTCCAGTGGAGTCTGGCCAGGACCAGTCCTGCAATATGGAAACCAAGTCCCAGGGGCCAGCCTTTGCCCCACTGGTTCCATAACCCTGCCTGCAGGGTCAATGGCTACCATGACTACCCACTCTAAGTTTCAACTTCCAGCATGTGCTGTGGGGTGGGGGGTTGGGGGACCCAGGCCAGGATCCTGAGCTCCTCATCCCATGCCTGCTCTCCCCACAGATCTTGGAGCCCAGTAGGGACCATGGGGTCACCATGGGGCACTCTGCAGGGAGTGACAACCTCCACCCCATGCCTCAGCAATCTGCTCTCCCACCAACTGCTCAAGGCTCTTCCCCAGGACATGGCCATGGCTGCCTTCCTTGTCTATGCCAAACCTTGGAGTCTACCACCAGGACCATTTATAAGAAATGCTACACAGGCAGATCTGCAGTGTCCATCCTCTTCTACCTCCTTCCTTCTAATGACCTAAAAGCAATCTCATCCCCACTTTCCTACTCTAACACTTCCCGTGGCTCCCCATTGCCTATAGCACCAAGACAAAGTGCCTCCACTCTGAGAAAACTGAGGCACACAGAAGTCTGGATGCAACTGGGAAGTTGATTCTTGGTCACTGAGAAGGGGATGGGGGTTACTGCTGATTTGGGGACAGGGCTTCCTGTAGTTGTGGGATATTGTATAATTGGATTAGAGGCAATGGTTGCATAACTCTATGCATACATAAACCCCCCACTGAATTGTAGACTTTAAATGGTCACTGCCTCCCTTTCTCATGCCTGTTCCCACTCAGGGTTCTGGGGTGACCCTGGGCCCCCACTGCCCAGATGGTTTTTTGCTTGGCTTCGTTCTGAACTGTTACCCTCTTGTAACCCCATCTGGCCAGAAACTGAGGCACACAGCAGTCTGGGTGCAGCTGGGAGTCAATATCCTTAACCATTAGGCTTACTGCCCCTTCCACTCCCACCTCTAGGATCTGAAGTCACCACCCTCAACACAGAATCCTATATACAACAAGAACTCTATTATGGTTGAGGGGGTAGTCCCAAGAGAGGGAGGGGGCCAGCCACTCAGGAAGGTTTGAATCACTGGGTTACACTGCTTAAAGGCAACTGCAACAAGGTCTCCCACTCGGTTCCCCAAAGATATTTTGCCCCTACCTCTGCTCTAGGACCTGGTCCAGCCCCAGCCTCTGGCAGAACCATACACCGAGGCAGAGGTGGCACCACATGGCTTTCAACACAGGCCAGTATCAGTCTGGCCACTTTCCCTTTGGACTCTTAGAAACTTGTTCGCAGAGTTCTTTTGGGACCCAGCAGCCATATTGTAGGGAAGCCCAAGCCACACCAGGAGGCTCCTTGTAGGCAGCAGGCTAAGCCCTGCCTTGGAATTTTGTGAGTGGAGATGCCTGAGAATGAGCCCAGCCCTTTTATCTTTTTCTTCCTAGCTGAGTATCCTGGGGAGGGAAACCAATGCCACCATTGTGGCATTTCCAAATTCCTGACTCACAGCATCACTGGCAATGCGGCTTCTGTACCAGTAGGTTTGGGCCAACTTGATTACGAAGCAACCAAAAACCAGAATTCAGGCACACCCAAGTTTTTATGAGTTTTATTAAATCCTTACAAAACAGAATACAAAATTCCGGCATTGACAGTTGTTGGAAAGGAAAACTTTGAGCTCTATCAGTTCACCTGGTACAATGGAATTAAAGTGCTTGGATGTTTTTCCCCCAGTTTAAAAAATTTTTGAGGTTTTTTTTTTGTTGTTGTTGTTTTTTAAAACAGCTTAACATCGATACACGGCCATTCTGGCCCAGGCTCTCCAGGATCTTCTGCTCATTCACAGTAGCGTTCTGACCAGCCCTCCAGGTGGCCATGCGACAGGGTGGGGGGGGAAAGGGAGGAAGTGACTGTCCCACCTTCAGAAAAACAGAAGCTGCTAGCCGCTCAGCTTTCCAGATACAATGACCATTGGTGCCTGCGGCATTTGCTTGTTCTCTTATACAAAAAGGCAGAAAATCCCCAGTTGCAAAAGGTGGAATCACTGAAGGACGAGAGATGACAAGGGGTCTTTGGAAAGGCCATCCACAGATATAGGCAGGCAGGGGACTGGGGAGGATATGTCACCCCCACCAGCCACCACAGACTGTGACAATTGTAGGAGACTTGGGAGGGGGAGGGGAGGTTAGGCCGAAGGTGTCTGAGCCCACCACCCACAGGCCCTCCGACATTCAAGTATTCTTCAAGAACAGGGAAGCAAAGTCAACTGATGTTTTCTTTAAAAAACTAACTAAACACGACGAAAATCCCCGACCATAGATTTAGAGGCCAGAGGGGCTACCTCAGGAAACACCTGAGCACAGCCCAGGGCTGGGCTGGCCTGGAAGGGGCCATGGGGGATTGGCTGGTAAGCGACACCCCACTGCCACTCCCCTGACCAGCAAAGCCACATGTGCACATAGAAAATGGAAACTCGTATTGCATAGTACTTCACCGCCAGAGCTTGGGGTTGGGAGACAAAGCAGACCCTTCCCCGCCATTCCTGGGTGCCTGAGGCTGTGGTAGCGGCGGCTGTTTTCCTGAAGGTGGGCAGACTGAAATCTGCCCTCACGGGTGAGGGGATGCAATGGGACCCCCAGGTCTGACCCCAGCTTTGGTGGTGTGGAGTGGGCCAACAGCTTCCATTCCAGACCCGAAGGGGGGCACAGGGGCAGGACGTGGCCATGGTCAGACTGAGCCCTGAGAAGGGGCACTCGGGTGCCCAGAAGGGGTGTCTTGGGGACCCCCAGGTTGGCTGACGGGTGCCTGTCCAGCCCCTCCTACCCACCTTGGTGTGGCAGATCCCTGGCTCCTGCCGCTTCAGTCCCTGGTGGGGCAGCAGGTCAGCTGCAATTTAAGGTGAAGGTCAGAGGCTGAGTCCTGCCATCAGGGGCCTGGACAGCCGCCAATCCTAGAGGAAGCCCTGATTGTCAACTCTCATGAGGACAGAGAACTTGGGTGAAGGGTGGGTGTGGGGGGATGCCATCCCCCCAGCCTGCCCACACCCAGGCCTACCCTCTTGAGATAGGGGGCCCCCTGTCCCCACCAAACCACCAGGGGTGTCTGGAGTGAGGGATAAAGGAGCTGCTATTCCATGACAGGAGGGGGAAGGAGAGCCTGTCCCTGAAAATACTGAGGGCTGGGGAAGCAGACATGGGGGAGGGGTGTCCTGGGCCCCCCAGCTCTGGAAGATGGCAAATTGGCTGGAAGTGGGCTCTCCTGAGTCACTGTGCAAGCAATGGGGGTAAAGAGGGGGTGGCAGGGTGCAGGTGACTTGGGCAGTGGGGCACACCAGACCTTCAAAGTATAGGTGAGCTTGGGGAGAGTAGAAACCCAGCCACACACACCCTCTGCTCTCCTCCCCATCAAAAGGAAAAAAAACAAAAGGAATGAGGAGGTGGGAATAGGAAAAAAAGGGAAAAAAAACCCCAAAGCAAAAACCTATAAAAAAAAAAAAAAAACCCAGCCCCTCAGCTGGGCTTAATGCCTGGGAATGCAGCCAAGGGGAGCAGCTCCCAATAGCTTAAAAAAAAAGTTTAGATGAGGGGGCACCTATGTACAGAGGGAAGGTGGGAGGGCGTCAGGCGCGGTCTCCCACGAGGACCACGGGTGCAGTAGACAAGCTGGCTCTCTGCCTCCGCTGGGCCAGCTTGGACTCTGAGGGTGGGGACAGCTGTAGGCAGCGTGAGGTAGCTCGGACGAGGACGGGCTGGCCCTGCCCCGCGGCCTCCTCCTCTGCCAAGTCCTCTTCACGTTGGGCCAGCTGCCGGTTCATGGCAATGGCCTCAGCCGCGAAGGACGTGAGGTCTTTGGCACAGCTGTTCCTATGGAGGGAGAGGAGGGGAAAGTTAGTTGAGGCCAGACCCCTGGGGTTTGGGCAGTGCCCTCTCCCCTCACCCTGGGCCTCTCTGGGCATCAGAACCTCACTGTCGGCCCTAGCAAGTTACCCAGTATGAAGATATCTAAGTGCTTGGGTGTCTTTCCCCCACTATTTGCATCTTTTTGAAACATCTTAACATTTAACACCCCCCTCTGGACTTGGGTAGCCCCAAGACCCTATATAGGCTCACCTCTGCAGGACCATGGGTGTGGGCAGGGTGTTCTCCGGGGCGCACTGCAATGAGGCAAAAGAGGCAGGGGCTAAAGTGGGCCCAGCAGGCCCAGAGTATGCCCTGTCGGCTCAGGTGGCACTGAGGGAAACCCTGAGCACAGCCCCATCACCAGGACCCAACCTGCAGACACTACAAACTGGGGCTTCATGCATGCACAGGGACCCTGAACCTGGCTGAGGGAGGGATGCTGTGTGACCCCAGTGGGGATCACAGGGTGGGGTGAACAGCTCAAAAACCATGCCCTTTCTGGTTTTCAGCCCAAATCCACCCTCAGAGCCCCCACCTTCTCAACGCATAGGTCTCCAGATTGCTCCTGGAATGGGTTTAGAGCTCCTTCTTGCTATGGAAAACAGAGTGACCTGTGCTCCTATTTTTAGTAAAGCCCACTGCCCTGGTGCCCTCATTCTCTTGGGACAGCAGATGACTCCTGGGCCTGAGAAATGCAGGGGGTGGGGCAGAACCCTGGACTGAGATTGGTTAGGCATGAGGCCCTCCTGCCCTATCACTCTCAGACCCAGGGCCAGCCAAGCTAGGATGAGCCTCTGAGCCACTGCTCCCGCCAGCCGCTATGTGGCTGGCAGCCACTCAGTGGGGTAGCAGTGGACCCTAGACCTCACTGCATCTCTGGGCCTCCATGCTGCACCCTCAGGGCTTTCCATACACTTGCTATGGGACATCTGCAGCCCCATGTCCTCCCAGTCCCTCTGAGGCTAGTGCTCACCCCCTGCACCCAGGGGTGCTGCAGGACTTGGGCAGCGCTCAGCCGCTGCTTGGCGTCACGGACGAGCAGCTTAGAGATGAGGTCTTTGGCGGCAAAGGAGATGTGGGCCCAGTCCTTATCAGGGAACTCATACTTGCCCTCCTGGATGCTCTCGAACAGCATATTCTAGGGGGCACATGGGGGGGGGGTCAGCTGCAGATGGCAAAGTTGGGCCAGGCCCCTGCCACCCAAAGGGCAAACTGAACTGGGGGGCATCCGGGATGGGTGCAGGGCTGCAGGACCCAGGGTCCTGAGACAGGCTGGCATGTCCAGGGGCCCTGGGGCATCACAGGAAAGTGAAGGGACACAGGCCCAGAGGTAGCTAGGAGGTTGAGCCAGCAGAGGTGGCAAGTGGGATTTGGGTTGATTTACAAAAGTAGACCCAAGGGGCACTAGGCTGGGAGTGCTGAGCTTTTGAGTCTTGGGCAAACGGCCCAATCCAATCAACTCCAACTTCAGATGTTGCCCACCTCTTTGCTCCCCCACCCCTGTCCCTGACTCTCTTGGGCTGGGAAACCCAAAGGGTCTTCAGAAACTCTGGAGAATGGGTGGGCACAGCCTTATAGATCTTTATCAGTGCTTGGTGGTCAGGGGCAGGTCCCTGGGTAGCAGGGGTGCACATGGCAGATTCCTAGGAAAGAAGGTGTGCACAGGGCATGTTTCTATGGGTGCTGGGGGCATGTGCCAGGAAGGGAAGGATGGACGGGTAGGCCTCCAGGTGAAGAGAAATGCTCCAGGAAGGACTCTAGGGAGGAGGGGCACACAGCGCAAGCCCCCAAAAGACAAGTACATGGGGTAGTGGGTAGGTCCCACAGGACCAGAAATGCAGGGGCAGGTCACAAGGAGAACTGGGGTGCAAGGAGCAGGTCTCCAGGGTCACACAGAACAGGCAAGCCCTGGGGTGGGTGACAGGGGCACACGGGGCACAGGCGGGCAGGGCACAGGGCAGCCCCTCACCTGGCATGCAGGGCAGGCCTCGCCGCGGTCCCAGCCGCAGTCACTGCCACAGTGGCCCACGAAGGGTGGGTAGCCGCTGAGCAGGATGTACAGGATGACGCCCAGGCTCCACAGGTCGCAGCGCTTGTCATAGATGCTAGCCTCCTCGCTGAAGGCCTCCACCACTTCTGGGGCCATGTACTCTGCCGAGCCGCACTGCGGACGGGAGCAGGCGAAGCGTGTCACGTGAGGCTGGGCCAGCCCCATTATGCTCAACCCGACCAATCAGAGGCTGCTGGCGTCCACCCTGCTCAATGAGCAGGTACTTGGAACACACCCAATCCTGTCCGACCAATCAGTGGTAGGAATTTGGGACCCACCCCGCCCCCGCCTGACCGAGGCCCCGACCCAACCCCAGCCCATCAGCCGTTGTTGCTAGGCGGAAGCGGAGTTCAGCTCCGCAGCTCCAGCGGCCAGGGGCCTAGGCAAGGCGAGGTTCCGCAACCGCAGAAACAGACATGGATGGGGCGTCAGTTTTTCCGGCTCCAGCCCAACCCTGCACCACCACCCCCATCCCCGGGGGCATCCGGCTGCGCGGGCCCTCACCGGGGTTAGCAACTCCGGCGTAGAGATGGGGGAGCAGTCTCCATTGAGCTTGATGCCGCTGCCCAGATCAAAGTCGCAGATCTTAACAGGAGACACCTGGGCAGGGTGGGAGGCATGAGGCTAGGGTCCACCGGGCTGGCCAGTAGGGAGGGCTGTCCAGCAGGGAGGGCTGCCCTCAGAGGCAGGAGGTGCCCGGAGCTGAATGCACCTGGTCAGGGTGCCTCACCTGGTTGGGGTGCTCACAGAGGATGTTTTCCGGCTTTAGGTCCCTATGGGCAATGCCTGGGGGAGAAGCAACAGAAGAGCGATTAGGGCTACAGAGGATGACTTCTTCCTGGAGTCCTGGGCAGGTGGACCAGATCCTGAGCTGGGGACTCACCTTTGTTATGTAGGAAGTCCAGGGCACTGGCCACATCCTGCACCACCACACTGGCCTCTAGCTCATTAAAGTGCCTCCGCTTGTGAATGTGACTCAGGATAGAGCCTGGGATGAGGCCATGGCAGAGGGGAAGACAGAAAGGGTCACTTCCCGAGGCCCTGAGCCAGTGCACAGCACCCACAAACCCCCACCTCCCATGTGCAGAACCCTCTGAAAAGTCCTTCCTGGAGGCCCTAAATCCTATAAGAACCCAGCCCTCCCTCCCCACAAGTAGGAGCCCACACTTACCACCCCGCATCTTCTCAAACACTAGGTAGAAACGGTCCTCCTCCTCAAAGAACTCAATCAGCTCTAGAACATTCCTGGGGTGGGGATCAGGAGAGGACCTGAGGCTCCCTGAAGCCCTTGGGCAGTCATTACCAGCTTCTCTGTGCTCACCCACCCATAGGAAGGCTGGGACTAGGCCAATGGGCCAGCTTTCCCCTTGCCCACCTGGGGCCATCAGCCACAATATCACTGGGACCACTCATGATGCCCACAATATCACTGGGACCACTCACGACGCCCAGCCTGGTAAACAGTGTGTGCTTAATAAATGCTTGCTGGGGATAATGTAACATTTAGGCCCATTCATTTACTGAAAGGTAGCTCAGAGCCTGGTGCTATGGCAAGACCAGGTGACCTCACCTGTGTCCCTGGCACTGATATAGCATCTCCACCTCCCGGAAAACCCTGCTCCGAATGTGGCCTGGTTGCTTCTCAATGATCTGAAAGGGGTCAAGGGGACATGCCACTGGGTCAGCTGGACCCTCCAGCTGGCAAGTTTCTGGCAAGCTCCTACCAGAAACTTCTGCGCAACACCTGAAACTCCACTATGGCTCAGACTTTTAAGCTCTCGAAAACAGGGCTTTCCTAGAGGGGCCTAGAATTTGCCAGACGTCAAAACTTTGCAGTCAGCAGGGGGCATGGTGAAGTGGAACATGAAAGAAAAGCTGATAGGAAAAAAGCTGGTGGGGCAGGTCCCCACCCCTACCCTGACAGGCCTTTGCAAAACATCCCCCACAGGGCATGAAGGCCAGTTCAGGGCCTTGGGAAGTGACCCTTCCTTGGACTGGTGGCCGCCCCTCTTTGACAGGGAGACCAGCCACCTTTGCTTCCACAGGACCCATGGAACTAGGGAGACCCTCAGGGTGCCTGGCTGCCAACCTGGCTGGGACCCACATGCCATGTGGCTGCAGCACCAAAGCCTGTATTCGTGCCTCCACACTAGCTTGGCAGGTGCCTCCCCCAGGTCCAACAGCCTGTGTCTGTTTAGGCCAACCCTAAGTGGCTGAGACCTAGCTCCTAGGAAGAACCTCAGGAAGCCTAAGCCCTAAACCATTGCCCTCTGGTACCAGCCACTCTAAGGACCAGAGGATTCTACCCCTGCCAGATGCCCCCCAGCCACCTTTGCTGGCAGAGGTGGAGGCAGAAGGTGCCTGCCAGTTCTCCCTGGTACTTGCTGGGCATCTTTTCCCAGGCTGGACATTCCAGCCCCTTTCCCCCTAAGCAGGAAGGTGGGTAGAGGGTAACCACAAGTGCCCAGGGCTCTCTACTCATTACAGTAGTCTGGTGGGGGAGGGGATGTATTCCACCTAGAGCCCCTAGCTACTGCCATGCACTGTGCCACATGTCTAATGACAGACACACCTACCCCAGCCAGGGGCAACAAATAATCTGACTCCAGGGTCTCCAGGGAACCCCTCCTCTGCTAAACCAAACCTAGTCATGTCTCTTGGGAGGCCGGCTAGGATGGCCACATCAGGGAGCAGAGTACAATCCCTCCTAGAAAGAAGCTATCTTCTCTGAGGGCCCAGCTTGGGGTTAGCACCCCACTGGTGGCCCTCTGAGCTCTGCCTCCCTGGGCAAAACCCTGTGCCCTCAACTCACTGGACCAGGCCATGCTCCTCAATCCACAGGCTCAGTGAACCTGCTGCCTTGCCCAAGCACTTTTTTCTCCTCCTCCTGCTGACCCCTAGCTGGGCCAGCTCCTCCTGGACTGCAGTGGTCAACCTCTGCACACCCCACCAGGAAGCTCCCTGATCTTGGCACTGACCACACTGGGTCAGTGGCAAGGGGACTGTGGAGACAGTCCCAGGATGGTAGTCAGGAGCCCTTGTGAGGCTGCATGGTGTAACTCAGACTACCTCACACACACACACACACCCCCCCAAGCCTCAGTTCCGTATCTGCCAAACCAGGACAGAAAGTTAAGTATGCCTGGTAGGACCCTTTGGAGGAACATACTCAGAAGGAAGCCCACTGTGCGGAAGTGCTCTCTGAGTGTCTATAAGTCTCTGGAACCTTTGTCCTGCCCCACCTGTAAACTCTTAGGGGGCAGGAGCCACAATTGCATCTGTCACCACCTGTCACTGCTGTGGTCCCAGTGCCTGGCCAACAGTTTCCCTTAACTTGAAAACACAAGGCTCACTCCTCCCTTCACCATGGGCTGGCCCACTCCTGTTCCTCTTTCTCCTCTGAAAAAGCCACCAGTGTGGCTTGGACTCCTACCAGAGTCTGTAGCCTTCCAGCTGGCCTCACACCCCTAGGAGCACCTGGCCCCCTTCCTGGGCAGTCCTAGTGCTGGATATAGGGTCATGAGGGAAAGCCTGGAAGGCATCTTTGCAGTTTTTTTGTTTTTTGGTGGGGCTGGGTTTGAACCAACCACCTCCAGTATATGGGGCTGGCGCCCTACTCCTTTGAGCCACAGGAGCTGCCCTGGAAGGCATCTTTGAACACAATATCTGACTGTGTGCCCTGCAAGGTCATGAGGCTACTACCAGGGCCTCAGCAGCCTCCTGCACCCAGACCACTGGCCTCACCCTGGGCTCAGAGGTGTCCCAGGGATGGGGGGGTTACATGGGTTTTCCCAAAAGCACAGCCCCCTCTGTCACCCCTTGGATACAGCTTAGAAGACCTGCCTGAGGGACCCAGCAGGCAAGTGTCACCTCTGGCCAAAGCCCTCAGCTCTGGGCAGTCACCTGGCACAGGGCCCTTGGCCACCTAGACATAAGGTGGGCAGGGGCCCCCCTCATTGCCAATCCTGCCTAGACTCAGAGGTGCAGCAGGGGCTCAGCAGGAGCTGACCCAGATTCCCAGAAGTGGCCTGAGTCACTAAGCCCCAGGACCATTTTTAGACACTGGTTTTCCCTGGCTGTCAATTTGGGAGCTTGAATGCCACAGCCTCTTCCTGTCTCCCCTAGCCAATAGCAGATCCCAGGGGCTGCCAGGAAGGGCCATACAAGCAGCTCCAACTGCTGGAGCTTACCTTGACAGCATACTCCTGGTTGGTGATGAGGTTGACGCAGGTCTGCACACGGGCATGGGCACCTTCCCCGAGCACATCCTCCTGCAGCTGGTAGACATCTGGGGAGTGGCAGGGTAGGCTGAGGGGACCTGTAGCCAGAGCCACCTCTCCACCACTCCATGTCTGCTGCCCCTCTCACCTTCAAACCTGCCCGAGAAGCTGTCAGTAGCTCGTCCCCGCTTCTTCTTCTTGCCTCTCTTCTTGGCATCTGGGATGTCGATGGGTTGGCTGGCAGGCATGTCTACAGAGACACACATCCACTATTCAGGACAGGGCCCTGACCAGTCCACACCCACTGCTACGGGGAATTTGGTGGGTGCTCTGTGCCCCCACCCTCTTAGGTATCTCACCAGGGCGGGTCTCGCACTGCAGGCTGAAGTCAGAGTCCTCACGGTCCCCTAGGTGGGCCTGGTCTAGGGAGAAGGCCAGGTCGAAAGGGTTCTGCCCCTGCAGAAGTGGAGAGGCCAGGAGAGAACACTTAGGGCCGAGTTGGTGTGGAGAATAGTCCAGCCCCAAGGCTGAGACCACAAGTTAATTATCTGGAGAAAAACTGAGTCTGTTCCTTGCTCACACTGGACACCAGAATAAACTCCCCATGTGGCAAATGGTTCAGACCAGGGAACTCCCAGCGCCTGGGACTCCCTTTCTCTCTCCCTCCCCACTCAGGGTGTGTATTTAAATGTGTGCAGCCTCCTAGGACCTCAGCAGGGACACAAAGTCTCTTAGAGGTCCACAAATCCCCTAACTCAGTAGTTTTCAACAAGGGAGGATTCTGACCTCTGAGGGAATATGGGGCAATACCGTGGACATTTATGGTTGTCACAATTGTGGCTCCTGGCAGAGTGAGTGGAGGTGGGGATGCTGCATAGAACCCTGCAGTAACCAGGACAGCACCACCTCAGAGAACAACCCGGCCCAAAGTCCCCAAATATCAACATGTCGAGATAGAGAAACCTTGTTCTCAACCTGACCCTCCGCCCCCAGCCCAAGGCCCCTGGGCATTCCAGGGAGGGTATGCAGTGTGGGGCAGGGACCGATGCAGGCAGACAGCTGCCTGGGGCCCTACCTCTGATGCCAGGGCTGAGTCACTGTGGGGCCCAAGCCACATCTCATGCCTCGGTTTGCTCATCTGCAGAATGGGGACAGCCCGGCTGACCTCTGGGGATCAAAGGCAGCAGAGCAGCACAGGGAGGTGACTCACTGGGTGGGGCTCCCAGCCTGGGCAGCCATGCCTGCTTTCCCACAACCTGCTGGGCTGTCTCAGGCCAGCTTAGCCCTTCCCAAGCCTCAGTTTCCCCATCTCCTTCCCTACCCTGTATGGTGGGTAGAGGGGGCATGAATTCAGTCTCTGTTAGCCCTGCCTCCTGCCTGCACAAGTCTCAGACCCACCTGCACACCTAGGCCTCCTGTCGACCCCCTTACCCCCACTCTACCTGGAGACTGCCCAGAATAGCCACCCCCAGCTCCGTATAGCTGAAGCCTCCATATCTTCTGAGGGCCAGCCCTGAATTCATGCTTCCAGTCCCCAAAGCAGTGATCACCTCAGCATGTGACTCTGTACCTGGTGGCCAGTGTTTAGTCACACCTCTGCCTGGTCCCTAGGGGTGCATGGCAGAGACACCCATGAATGTGCCAGGCCCTGCCCGGGCACAGCCTGCATGGTCTAGTTTCAGTCCAGACACCCTGGAGGGATCCCTTCACAGGCTGTGGTACCCAACTAAGAAGTACCTCCCTCAGGGGAGCTGTGGCCAGCAGGATTTGAATTCAGGACTGCCCCACTCAACAGAAAGGAGCTTGGATAAAAGACAAGGGAGCCCTGGGACTGCAGGGAGGGTATGAGAACCTCAACAGGGTGCAGGAAGCCAGAGGTCCAACAGACCTTTCCTGGCCTCTAGACAGAAGATGGTTGGCACAAGTACATTTCTGCAGAATAGGTGTGATCCAGTCAGGGGAGGGTCCCTAGCAGGAGAGGTCCAGGCCAGATTCATCTCATAACTGAGCTCTAATTTCCAGGTCAGCCTCCTCCAGCCAGGAGGGCCCTAGCAGGCGAGAGGGCCTACAGGTGCAGTGTAGTCCTAGTCTCAGCAAGGATGCTGGGCCCTGGGGCCAAGTTGCTGGCCCTCTCTGGGCCCCAGACAAAGTGGGACAGGGCTCTGATAGATGGGCCAGCAGAGAAGCCACCCCAGGAGAGCCCTAGGGAAACCATGAGGGCCCTGTGCAGAGGACCCCCACAGATGCCTGCAGCCTGGAGCCCAGGAAGCCAGCCTGGCAGAGGGGCAGGTGGCAGCCAGAGAATAGGAGGGTCTGAGAACCAGGCTGCCCTCCCAGCCTGCTGCCCACTATGCCCCAGTCAGATAGTTGCTAGGAGGCTGGAGAGGAAGGGGCCCTCCAGGTAGCCCCACAAGGAAGCAAGCACCCTCAGCTCCAATAAGGGTCCCGATCTACAGGGCCTGCATAGCCAAGAGCAGCCACCACACAAGGGAGGTTACTAGAATCAAAAGCTAGCCAGGGCTCTACTTACTCTCTGACCTTGACCTAGTGACCTGCCCCCAGGTAAAAGGACTCAAGAACCTCAGGGCCCAGTCTGGGCGTGGCTTTATCTGGTCACTGTTCCCACATGCCTGTCATAGCCTCCAACTCAGAAAAGTGGAGACAGATGGAGTGGCCACAGCAACCATGGTGAATGGACAGATCTGCTGTCAACAGGCACTGGGTACCACCACTCCCATGCCCACAGAAGGACTCCAGGCAAACCCTGCTGTCTGGGAACCTCCACTTTCCCATCTTAAAAGGTGGAAAATAAACCCACCATGCTTGCATATGTCCTGATGGGACAGGAAGGGTATCTCAGGAGAGGTGGCCCTGACTCAAGGGAGCAACTGTGCATGGTGGGGGTCATGGGAGGGGTTGGTCTTGGGGTCCTCCACCAGACCCAGGCCACCTGGAGGGGGACCTCTCTTGGCCCCTCAGTCCACCTCGGAGTGGGGCTGTCTGGTGACCATGCACAGAGGCCAGCTCATGGTCCCAAGCACGGGTAGTCTCAGCCCAGCTCTCCCTGGAACTGGCTGCAGGACGAGAGTCAGCAGGCCTTGGCAGGAGGCTGCTGGAACCATCCAGAAAGTTTGGGTTTGCTTTGGCTGCCTTGCTTAGTCCCGTGTGCTGACCTGGCCTCGGCTCATGTCCAGCCCCAGGAGGGGAAAGCCCACTGTCAGAGATGTCTCAGGTTCACCCATGTCCCGCCCAGCCCTGGACACTCTGAGGGCAGCCGCTGCCCTAGGGGAAAATGTAGTGGCAGGCATTCAAGCAGGGGTGGGTGAATGGCCGGGGACACTGGCTGGACAGGACTGCGAATTTTTCCCAAGCAGTCCCCACTTGCTCCTCCCATCTTGACGCTCAGCATGTGTGTACACACCACACACATACACATACACACACACACACACAGACCGACCTGCCTTCTCCACTGGGCAACAGGTCCCTGCCCAAGGAAGCCCAGGGAAGCCATTACATAACCTGGCCAGTGGGGTGGGGCAGGCAGCTGACATCACTGCGTCCCCTGGGCCAGGCCCTGTGGGGCCCCTACCCAGCACCTGCCATCTTCACCCTGCCAGGGTCGCTCATCTGAGACTAGGACTGGGCAGCAGCCACTACCAGACTGCCATAGAAACTTCCCGCTCTGACATGAAACAGCACTTGGGTCTGAGTGTCCCCCGACCACCCCCTACCTCACAGGCCACCTGGGGGTGGATGTAAGGGACACACAACCTGGCCCAGGATATCTTGAGGAAGATCCCCACAAGCCACACCCGGTGGTGACAGGGCTGTGGCCTGCTGAACACTTTGCTCCAGTGGACAACCAACTGGGATTACAGGGGACACCCGCTGTGTCTAGTATTATGAAGAAGATACCCTAAGGGCTACATGCTAAGCTTGGGACAGAACTGCGGCCTGCTGACCCCAAGCTCTCCACAGCTGAAGGGGGCTTGCAGGAAACACGCAACCAGAGGCAGAGACATCCCACCCCACTTGAGGTTCCGGGACGAAGGACCCCAGCGCCACAGCTGGGGAAAGGTCTTCGGCCTACTGACGATCCCATCAGCACACACCTGGCTGGGACTGCCCCAGGCCCCGGGCTGATCCTGGAGGCTGGTTCGGCGCCCTCTCCCACAGGCCACTCGGGTACTCCAGCCCTGGGCGCCCTCCAAACCGATCCCGGCCCTCACCTTGAACGAACGGTGGAAGCCCTGAAGTTCGGCTGTTTTCTTCTGCACCATCTTCTGTCCGGGCCCCGCCAGCGGGGGAGGGGACGGAGGGCCCAGGGGGCGGCCCGAGGGCGGACAGCCGGGCGGGGGGCGGCCGGGGAGGGGACCCTGCGGGCAGGAGCAGACAAAGGGAGGGCGGTAAGCAGCGGCGGCCGCTCAGCCGGGGGCACGGCCCGGGCGGGGGCGGCGATGGCTCCGCTGGGCCTGATCCCCGTGCCGGATCGGGGTTCCCGGGGTTGCCCAGGGTTCGCACTCACCGGGGTCGGGCTCGGGTCGGGGCCGCAGTGCCG